ATTGTTATCAGGTATAGTTTAAATGTGTTGATGTTGGTTAAATATATTTTAAATTGTTATAAAATTCTGCATCTCCCATAGCAAATATTATTTTCGTTTTCATTGATGCTCACAGCTAGAATTTTTTTGCATTACAGCCGGTGCCATTCCAAGCCTACTTATTTAAAGGGGGCAAATTTTTGTATACTCTATCTCTCGAAGAGGAATCGAGCAAAATATCAAGTATGTTATATTTTTGGAAAGGAAATTTTAAATTCTTTTCAATAAATTAAAAATATACAGGGTGTCTCATATAAAAAATCAAATTTTCTGTTGATAATTCTTAAATTATTAATTTTAAAAAAATTATACTTAAACCATTAAATTCTACGTAAAACGGTGCTTTGGAAATGTTTTCATAAAAATACAAAATTTTCCATAGCAAAAAAGTTACAGCGATTTGTTAAAAATGCATATTTTTGAAAAACGCTCCGTAACTCCGAAACGGTAACAGATATCGATATGCGGTTTTCACCATCATGTTTTTGACATAAATTGAACTCCAGACACCGATATTAGTTTTCGTCTATCTCCTATAGAAAAGGTTGTTTTCATTTAAAAGCGTCGAATTTGACCCACCCTGTACATACGTCCCTGGGGAATCTGTCGACATTTTTTTAACATTAAATTGGGTAGCACTCAAAGTTACTTTAACCCTCCAAATTTTATTCGAATCGCTAAAAGCACTTTGGAACAAAAAATGAAGATTTTTACCTCCTGATGTAGCTACGAAACAAAGCAGAATCAAACCCGTGTTGAAACGAAAAATAAATCTTATTTTTACGTAAAGAATCTCCCCAGGAGAGATGGCACGTGTTTTTGGAAACACCTTGTATACCATCCTTACACACTGACTTCTGTGAAATAAGTTTTGAAATTTACTACAGCCATACAAAATATTAATATTCTCTCAACGAGAGGAATGAGGAATAAATATTAAATCTAAGATGACAATCTTTCAAGGGAGTACTAACCATCACCGAAAAGTACTTGTGAAATTAAGAAAAAATGCGTACTGTAATCTGTATTTGTGTCAAATGTCTCACTAGTTTCAACATCGGCATGTTTCAGAGATAAATCTTATGATTATAATTGTTAATTGTTGAGTGTTTCTTCAGTCGATCCATTTAAAAAATATCAGTTCTAATATTAACGTTAGTTTTGTTGTAAGGATTTTTTTAACCGTGATAATTTTTGAAATTTAACCAAGTAAAGTCAACCTAATTATTTCTGCTAGATTGAGTAAAAAGTTTAATCCAGACAGTTCGGTTTTGTATGCACCTTTTCGGTTGTATTTCACTGATATTTCAGTGATATTTACTCCAATCATTATTTTACTAATTGATATTGTCTTTTTCGAAGATTCTTATTGATGATATTGATGATTTTTAAAGCAATTTGTTGCTGAGTTATTTGACTTTTTAGCCACTTCTTCAATTCAAAAATTTAAATCTATGGACATCCTATGAAGCTGTTAACCAAAGTAAGGAATTCAAAAACTAGTTTATCCTCAAGGTGCAACTTCAAAAATTCTCTAACCTGCAGCATTCAAGATCTAGTATATAAACTTACTGAAAGAAATCCTCCTCCTCCTTCCTATTACTCTATAAGAGAATGGTGACATTATGATCGCATTTATGGTGTCTTTCCATGTTGTTCTGTCTTGCGCAGCAGTACTGGCCTCGTGCAGACTATGACCTATTATTGTCTTCATTTGGTCCACCCAACGGTTTGGAGATCTCCCTCTAGGACGTTTCCCGTTCACTTTTCCCTCCACAATTAGTTTTTCTAGGCTATTGGTGTTCCTGGATATGTGGCCAAAGTATCTTAAGTATGACTGATTTATTAATATCGACAGTCTAGATTCGATATTCAGTTGTTCTAGTATTGAAATATTTGTACGGTGAGCTGTGTACGGTATTCGCAGCATCCGTCTATAACACCACATTTCAAAAGCATCGATTTTACGTTTCATTGCCAACTTCAATGTCCAGGTCTGTGAGGCATAATTGGCAATGGGGAAAATTAGGGCTCTTAGTAGTCTGAGTTTGTTGCTAATTGAAATGGCTGAATCTTTCCATTGTAAGAAATACTACTACAATATTAACTTTATGTGGATTCCTGGATACTCTGACATTACTGGTTACGACCGAGCAGACAAATTGGCTAACGAGGCAACGCTCTTACAGAATATTGAAGGAACTCCATCCGTTGTCGATTTCAGAACTTTCCACAAAAATGTGTTATTCAGTATGCTTCAAAATGAATGGGACATCCTCGAGGGAACTAATAAACTTAGATCACATATGCCACCTTTTCATTTGTATCAAAATATATATTCTCTTGAACGCGGATCTTTCTGTAAAGTTGTTAGAACCATCACAGGACACTCATATCTTACCAAATCCTATATCATTAGAAATGAACCCCCTCCGAAATGCACCTAATGCAATAAGTTAATGTCAATCAGACACATTTTTTTTGAATGCTTTCCTGTTGCCTCCCAGGTCTAGATTTTTTAATGCTGTTACCTATAAGAATATTTTCGCGTCTTTTAACATTTCGACGATTAATAAAATTATGGGATTCTTAGTCCGCATCAACATAACGAAAAAACTTTAATTTCTAATAATTTAAAATAACTTCACATTGCCTAAAGATTTATTATTGAGAGCTAAAAAACCCTCGCTGTTGATGCGCTCTATAAACCAATACATCTCTCTCTCTCTGAATCTCTTTTTGACAAAAGCCAGTATCAGAGACCAGTTCTCCATCTCCTACATCAGCCGTACTAAAGTTTATAGCATGAACGGTTGTCGTCTCGGCGCACTCAGTAATGATGAATGTGTTCGTTCAGGAGACAGTGTCCTGTTAGAAACCCCGCCACAATTCAAAGATTGTTTTTACTCAAATCAAGGAAAATCTTTGATTTTTCTCGGTAGTAAGCTCTGGGAAATTTCTTTGAGTGTCTTAGACCGTTGGAGGATTCTCATTCCAGGTTACGGATGGGGTCTTCCAGGTTCTTGAGTTCCACTTTAAGCTGGATTCCACCTGGAAAGTAGAACGGTTCTGGTCCAGTTGGTGGAGTGTTCGCTCCTTTTCTAGCTAGATCGTTTGCTTTTTCATTGCCTTCTATCTCTTGGTGAGGTTAGGTTAGGTTAAGAAGACTTTATTTTCTTTGCCCAATCTGTTGAGCTTCTCTAGGTATTCATTGACCAACTTCGAATTGATGGCCACTGAGTTGATCGCTTTTAGTGCTGCTTGACTATCGGATAAGATGACTATTTCCTGTTTTCGATAGTTCCTATCTAAGATGATTAGTTTAAAATTAGTATAAATAAATTATTTTATTCAACAGCCACTACTTATACAGACATTACTCACATGTATACATGCATATAATAGTTATTAATGATACAAGTTCGATACGAACATCATAATGAAACGCGTGTAACGTTAAGTTTACTTGGTTAATTACACAAGTTTCATTAAAAAGTTCGTATAGAACGTGTATCATTCACAATTTAATCTACGACGCGACACGAGGGACAATCCAAAGAGATTTGATTTCATTTAAAATATCAGAGACATCCTCATAAAAATTAAAATTCAAAATAATCAGATGCCAATATTAGTCGACGCCGTGGTAATCGTGCTTGTTGATTGTTTCCATTTTGACTTTGACAACTCAATTATCGATGTTCAATTTTGTGTTATATGTTCAGTTTTAGCAAAAAGCATAAAATAATATTAATATGGGTTATATGGGTGATTCTGATTCTAAAAGTGTCCCTTCGGATATTGAGGGCATTGCGCAAAACTTTGTCGATTCCCTACTTCCCGAAAAATCAAGACAAACGTACGAGCAAGCCTATGTAAAACTTGAAGATTGGTGTAAAGGCAAAGGAATCAAGAATAGTAGTAACGAAAAGGTTCTCCTGACATATTTTGAACATCTTTCAAAACATTGGAAGGCTTCATCACTCTGGGTATATTATTCCATGCTACGTTCAGTTACATCAGTGAAGAAAAATACAGATATTAGTAAGTACGTCGATTCAATTGCATTTCTAAAAAGAAAATCGGAAGGATTTCGGTCAAAAAAATCGAGAATTTTAAGAAAAGAAGACGTAACTCGTTTTTTGTTGGAAGCCGATGATAAAACTTATTTCCTGACAAAAGTTTCATTGATAGTGGGACTTGCGGGAGCCTGCCGGCGTATCGAGTTGACAAATCTGCAGCTGCAAAATGTTAAAGATGAAGGACAATGCATTCACGTCATTATTTCATTTATGAAAACAAAGATATAACGAGATTTTTTTATAACGAAAGGGAATGTTGAAGGAATAAATATGGTGAAAATGGTTCGAAGATATATAGCTATGCGGCCAAGCAACACAGAGCATACTCGATTTTTTGTGGGGTACAGAAATGGAAAATGTATTAAGCAACCCGTTGGCATTAATACTTTAGGGAAAATGCCGTATAAAATAGCATTGTTCCTAAGTTTTCCAAATCCACAACAATACACTGGACATTGTTTCCGTAAATCGTTGCTTGCAGATTCAGGAGTGGATTTATTAACTGTTAAAAGACATGGTGGATGGCGCACTAACACAGTGACAGAGAGCTATATAGAAAATTCCAAAGAAAATAAGAAAAAAGTGTCATGTAATATTTTGGGTAACATTTCTGGCAATGATGGGTCTTCAACAAGTTCAAGCACTCAGGAAATAAATTTACTTTCTAAAAATTCAACTCACCTGTCATCGTTTGGAATTAATTTAAACAATTGTACTGATATTATAATTAACGTTTACAATAAATAAACGTATTTAGGTACCTTTTTTTGCTTGTTTCTTATTTTAAAATTTGCGTGTTATTACATTGTTGTAGATTAATAACAAAAAGATATTTGTCTGCTTTGAATCAAATATTAACAAAAAATCTTTTTTTTACAGGAAGTAACTTTAAGGGAAGGTTCACAAGTGACAGAATGGTGGGCCAAACCTCCAGTAGTGCCAATGATAAAAGTCTACATCTACAACGTTACTAACGCGGACGAGTTTCTTAACAATGGTACCAAGCCCATCGTGGACGAGCTGGGGCCTTACGTATACGTGTAAGTATAGTACTATGCAAATAACGGGTGTGGTGGGTTCGTGTCAGATAATAAAGGAAAAATGAGAGGAACAAGTCGTTTTTCATATTCGCAAATAACGTTGAATGTATTTAACTGCGTTTCTAAAAACGTAAACATTAGTAAATGTTAGATATTGCATAACTTAATTACAGTTACTATAAATACCGAGTAGTTCATGGAAGTATTGGTGCCTACGGAAAATATGCGTTTGATTCTATAGGCTTGGTGCATTTCAGTTGATTTCAACAAATTCAGACCGCAGCGCTTCAACGGCAAAAATCAGAAATTATCAGTATACTTATTTCACGCCGCAGCCGCCGCGCCGTCATGTTGATCGTATTAAAATAATATTGAAATCGTGGTTTTGTCATAATATTTACGTATTTTATTTTTTTGCTAGTGCATTTATTGAGACTACAAAACATTTAGGTACGAAATTTATTTAACGCTGTTTCGGGTAGTAAAAAATAAGTGAACAAGAATTCGAGGCGTCGCACAGTGCTTCGTCCCATGGACAAAAATCGAAAAAAAGTTAAAATTTACTAATATCTGAATATGTAATTTTATACTTATAGCAATGTTCAATCATCCTGTATATTATTTTTCATAATCAGTGTTTTTTGTTAGCAAATATTTTCACTAAAAATAAATTTTGCGATCATTATCTTATCAGTGAAAAGAATAACATTCATAGTAGTTCTGTATATTATGGAGTTAAACGGTACATACTTAATTGAAAGCCACTATGGATATTGTTAAACAAGGTATGTACTTTAAATTTATTTCTAAACAAGTTCGTGATTGTTTAGTTTTTATTTATTTTTTAAGATGATTCTTAAATGGGTATAAAAATTTTACGTTTTCAAACTTCAAAAAGGCATTTAAAAAAAACATATCAAAACATATCGTAATTATTGAATATATTTGTTATCATATTCATACACTTTTAATTTTTGTATAGTTCACCTGCGTCTGCTTGCGACGAACTTTATTTTATAATACTTTTCAAATGGAGTAAAATTGATAAGCAATGCCGATCTGGTTAATACTTAGCTTGATCATAAGGACAAGAACTCAAAATTATTTGTATTTCAAAAAATGTGTTCTTTATTAGATATTGATGAACCTTCCAGTCAAATAAGACACCACTTGTGCCTGAAATAGCCCACTATGTTGGAGCGAAACGTCGCATAAAAAAAAGTTTCCATCTTTCAATTTATTATAAAAACTCATACCAAAGAAAAGGAAAAAATAATATATGGATATGGTCTCTTAAAGAGGTAACTATTAACATCCGAACCCCTCATACCAACAAAGGGAACACGCGAAACAACGCGAAAAAGTAACATATTAGAAAATTATGTACAGAAACATCTTATAATATGTGAGGATATTTCATCTACCTGTGATTTGGATACTATAAATTTGGAAGATTCTGTCAGCAGTGATTCTTCTGAATCAGAGTAGTTACGATCTATGCATTTTGTTGTCCTAAAGTAAATTTATAGTATCTTAAGTTTTTTTTTTAATTAAATATAGCATTAATGTTTCTTTTTCATTAAAGAAAAACATTTTTATCTTATATTAGGCTTATATTGTAGGAATCATGTTCTAATGTTATTTCAATTCTTTTTTATCACAGGGATTTTTTTAATACTTACACCGTTTTCATATTATAAATTATTATTTCCTTAGATGGAACACAGCTCCAACATTTTTATTATTTATCAGATTTTTTTTTCATAAACGTGGGACTAAGAACATCATCTTTTAGTACAATGAGAGTACTCATTATATGTGTCAAATAAACCTAGTTTGAATAAATTGCCTACAATAAAAGAGAAGTTTTGCATTTTTGTCCTCTAGAGCCATATGATCGAAGCACTGTGCGTCGTGTAGTGTTGTGACAATATCAAATGTTAATAAAATTGCCGAAAAAAGGTTAACGCGTAAAGGAGAGCTTAATTAGGGCGTTGTTGGGTGAAATAACATTCAATAACTCAACTTTCCCCGATATTCAACTCTCCCGAAACAACATTTTATAGTTTCATAGTTTTTCACACCGATTTGATCAAAAGCAAAAATGGATTCAAGCAGTTCTGCAAAATAACTGAGTAAACACAGTGCTCTTTACATAGTCAAAAAACTAAATAGACATATACTATGAGAGGATAAATATAATTTGCAATATTAATGGTATACTTTTTTAATCAACTAGTGATTATGTTTCATGAACATCTTCTAAAATTAAATTATATACCTTTAAAAAATTTCATTATAGCCGAAATAGCCCCAATTATGCCCAATTAGCAAAACCGGTGATTAAAACTATGCTCGCTACCGTATCCAAAAATTTTTTAACTGGAATAATAAATTATACTACAAGTTAGACCTTCTCAAGATATCAAAATATCTACTTTTTTATTTTTATTTTTAGAATTTTCACAAATTATACTTCCTAACACTTTTAGAATAATTAAATAATAACTTTTTCGTATTCTCGCTATTTAAACCCGTGTATTTGTAAGTACTAGTTGTTTACGATATTCCCCGATGGTGGCAGCACCGGCAGAGAATGCACCAAGCCTATTACAGGCCGAAATATACTACCCCTAAAAATATTTGCACTTATTTAAGACTCACCCTGTATATTTCATTCATTTGTTTTATATTTCTTCATTTCTTCACAAGGCATCGCATCGCTTCTAATTTTTTTTCTTTAAACTCGTGACCTATACCGAAAAGAAAGTTAAGTTATGCAATCCGTTCGACACAGGATGTAATTTATGTATTTACATTGTGAACTTTCTTTGCGTTGATCGCAATTACGTCACCAAAACGGAACATGCTACACGATTCGGTGTTCATTGGCGGACAGGATGACCTTATAATAATAATAATACATTTATTATTCAATAATACACAAGAGCAACATTTTATTGTTTCATTTGTTAATTACTTTATTTAAAAAGTGGTATGTAATGTTGTTAAAAAAATGATAAAACCATATCGATTCTTTCTGCCGTAGAATAAATGTCTTAAAGTAACGGCTGTCATATCGTAGCCACCTAGATTTGATTAAATAATAAAGATCTACTCACACTAAATCAAAAAATTGAAAATATCTAAGAAAATCATAGTTTGAGAGTTAGACAAATAAATTAATTAATAAATAATAGTTATTAGTAAAGAACAATGATCGACTGTAAGGTCTGCTAGCAAAAAGTTTTAGGCTTAAAGCATCACAACATAATTAATTTAAACCAAAAACTCGTAATACAAAACTAAAGTATCAAAACCGAATGGCAATGTCAGGAAATAAATATATATATGTGGCAACCTTTTTTACAGCAGATCTACAAGTTGAAACCCTAGCGAGAAATTTAAATTTCAGTCCTTGATTGGTAACAATTAATTTAAAAAGCGCGCCCTCGATTACGTAACTAGAAGTTATCACTTATAGGTTTAACAATGTAAGTTATTAAAGAATAACCTGGGCTTTTAAAAGTTACCAATGTTCAATATTAAATTTTTCTCACCATATACGGGGTAAATTCCATTTATTGAAATTTATTATTTAGTCTTTTTTGAGGACACTCTGTAGAAATCTATATATTATTAAAAGATGCTCTAAGTTAACCTACATATGCTCACAAAGTTTTATTTTAATACAAGCTGTCGTTCTCCTTTGAGCCTCCGAGTCGTATAATAGGCTCCGCCCTGTATTTCCAACGAGTTCAACCATTGTTGATTGTTCTGTATAAAGATTCATTCAGAACCTCGAAATCAGTGGAAAAAATCAACAAAGTCTTGACTTTTCCACTAATTATACTTCAAAATTTGCAAAGAATGTCATTTTAGCCTTTGATTATCACCCGCCAAGAAAAATTTTTGTTAGAAATCAAAAGTGTATTGTTTTCTAAGCTAAATATTATGCTTTCTCTATGGATACAACAGGCTACCGCAAGCTGTTGCCAGGATATTTTATTCATTTTAATTGTGTTTTTTAGACATTAAAATTAGTGGTCTGTTGTTTCCATAGAGAAAGCCTAATATTTAGCTTATAAAACAATAATTTTTTGATTTCTAATCACAATTTCTCTTGACGGAAGATAACCAAAGTCCAAAATTACATTTCTCGCAAATGTTGAAGTATAATTAGTGGAAAAGTCAAAAGTATGTTAACGTTTTCTACTAATTGAAAATGTCTACCACTAATTCTGACGTTCTGAATGCTTACATTGATATTAAAGGAACAAACTTCTACGCTAAATGAAACCCCTAATTTATTCCACTAATTGGGACGTTCTGAATGAAGCTTAAGTTAATTAATATGAGTTTTATAGAAAAATTCAGTCATTTTCCCTCTACAATACAGCGATGGCTATGAAATGAAGATCGCTGTCATTTTACATGTAAAATTATATGGGGAATGTCATCGATGTTCATTTCCAAGCCAACTGGATGCCGTATTTTTTTCGATTATACGGTACCTTAGACTAATCTAAGCATAATACCAACGGTACCTGCTACACGAGCAATCATTGGCGTACGTCTCTCAGAGGTGGCAGGTTATATAAAAGATCGTGTTAAATCAAACGAGTAAAGAAAAACCGCTGGTGTGTGAAGTGGTCCTCAGGTTACGGAGGTTCAATAATATGTCTATAAAACTTTTACTTTTGTCGGTTCGTATTCTTTAAGATTTCGTTTGCAAATAATTATGAATAATCAATCACTTTCACACGGTTGTTGGTTTCAAGAGACCAAACGCAAGTTTATGGAGTAGGTCACTGGGTTTTCTTAAGTAATATTTCCTTATTTTCTGTTTCTTTTATACAATACTTACTTAGTTTTTTATCAAATATATTAAAAAATAGATTTTTTTTCAAACGTCACAAAAGTATTAGTTTTTGCGACGTGATTGACAACATAAAAAAGTAATTTTAACGCCTAGGCATAAAAGTAAAGCACTTTTCTACTTTAAGCATTAAAGTAGAAAAATATATTATTAAACTGACATAAAGTGCCAAATTCAACGAGCCGTAACCATAGTTTCTCGATATATAATTACTTAAAAGGTATTAACTTTAATTTTTTTTCCACAGCAAGTATTAAAATTGCCTTATATATATCAAAAATAGTAGATAAAATTGTACTTTAACCGTAAAGGTAGATTAAATGATACTTTAACAGCGAGGATAGGTTAAAAACTTTATTTCTTCTCGCACGTTTTTTAATTGCTTCCATTTTTGAAAATTTTTGTATTCCTTTTCATAAATTATTCGGGATTTAAATGGAAGTAGCTTGGATTTGACGTTTGTCGCCTCAGCTTGAATATCTGTTGGTAATTTACTTATTTCGTTTTGAGCCATTTCTGGCTCCAATTCAATCAGCAATCGACACGAAAGAGAATTAAAAAATATTGACTCAAAACTGACAGCTAAAGAGACAGCTTTATTTATTTGTCAAATTACAGAGAAACCAACGCCAACCCAGCACAATATTTTTTCTACTCGTAATAAATTCCTTGAAATAATAATTTCTGAATATTTTTTTATATACACGACGATAAAAAACACGACGATAAAATTGCATTATCGTCTCTCGAACTCAATCGTCTCCCCCAATTAATCTTTTCGATCGACGATAAAATACCATTTTATCGTCTTGTATAAAAAATAACTATTTATGTTAGGTATTTGGAACATTTAAAATTATTTAAAAATTTATTTTTGACGTTTTAAAAAAAGCAGTAGGGTCTATTTGGAGTAAAAATTACTTTTTGTGTCTCGCCTGTAACGTCAAACGTACAGGCTGGACACAAAAAGTGTCATTTTTACTCCTAATAAAACAATATACTGTTGTTTCAAAATTAGTTTTTGAAATTTTACTGACGTACATAGTTTTAGCAAATCAGTGAGTGGGATGAGCTTTTATTAGTAATAATTATTAACATTCACTGATTGCTAGCTTTTACTGTAACGTGTACAGGGTGTCCCATTTTAGTTGAAATCATACGGTATCTCCGTTATTTGTGAAGATAAAAGGGTACGGTTTGCACAAACCTGTGCCACTTTTTTGTCAAACGAAAGATCCCGTTAACAAAATTTTCATAGCTTCGTTTCTGAGCTACAGGGTCTTTTCTAAAATTTTGCAATTTGGGACAGCCCCCGTATCTCCGTTATTATAGATGATATCGAGAAGATGAAAACTGATTCTTGTAGAACTTTTTACGTAGAATACAGTGGCGTAGTCTGTTTTTCTACGAAAAAAATATTTTTGAAAATATGAACTAAAGTTAGGTTTTTTCAAATGGAACACCCTGTATATTTATAAGTCATATGATCCGCTGCTATGAGCTTCTCAAATATATATATACCACTTTATATTTATTTTCAATATTTACTGCAATATTTAAAATACATCATTTTCTAGGCCGTGATAAATAACAAAATCAAAATGGTATTTACTAAAATAGACATACACATATTAAAATTTTATTTGGGATTAATATATTTTACTTTTGGATTGTTACCACTGAACCTCTGAATATATTTTTCTCTTTTTTATAACGGAATTTAGTTTATAATGGGATGGGTTTGCAAATATCTAAAAGCTTGCATTATTAAAGCATTTTCCAGGTGTTCGACATTGTATTAGTTGCCACGATATATTTCATATTTCAAAAATCCCTAAAATCAGAAATCGAGAACGGACAAATCCGGGAATCAGGGAGGTCATCATATTGGTTCCAATTCATTGATTTGAGAAATAATAATTTAGCAAAATTCTAATATTTTCGTTGTAAGTTAAGTTGTGGGGGGGGGGGAGCCCCATCTTGCTGAAACTATATTTCACGTAAATTAGCTAAAGGGATATTTAAAAGTTCCAATAAGATAGCTTTCAAGATTTACAAATAGCGGTAGAGATTTAAGTTTCCCTAATATACAAAGAATTAATTAGTGGCTCTCAAAATAAAACAAGAGACAGATAGCAATATTACTTTTAATAATTCTTTAGTTTCTTTTATTATCAATCACGGCCTACTAATAAATATGATCTTTTAATATATTTTTTTAAATATTGCATTAAATAATGAAAATAAATATAGAGTGTTATATATTTTTGAGAAGCTTATGGCAAGTCCGATCATTTAATTCATAAATATAAAGGGTGTTCCATTTAAGAAAACATAACTTTAGTTCATATCTTTAAAAATATTCTTTTCGTATAACAACAGACTACGTCGCTGTATTCTACGTAAAAAGTTCTACAATAAACAGTTTTCACCTTCTCGATAGATTTAACAGTAATAGAGATACAGGAGGTGTCCCAAATTGCAAAATTTTCAAAAAGACCCTGTAGCTCAGAAACAAAGAGAGCTATGAAAATTTTGTTTACGGCATCTTCCGTTTGATAAAAAAGTGGCACAGGTTTGTGCAAACCGCACCCTTCTATCTTCACTAATAACGGAGATACCATATGATTTCAACTAAAATGGGACACCCTGTACATGAATTAAATATAGATATTTAATATTTATTTATTTGTTTCTACAGTCAAAAATGGGAGAAGAAAAACTTGACGTTCAACAGTAACGGCACAGTCACGTTCCTACCCGAAAAAATCTACCACTTTGACGAATCACTATCCGCTGGATCTGAGGATGATGTCGTCGTGGTACCTAACATTCCTATGTTGGTGAGTACATAATTCATTTTTTTAGCTACCTACCTTGGTACCGCCTAACAGCGCAGTGAAGTGACATTTTTTTTTTGGTCAGTCTTGTCTGATGACTGATTCCCAAATGATCTGGAATGATAGGAACCAATCGATTTGACAGTTGTTGTCATTTGTATATTTTTTTTACATTTTAATTCAAGCACATAATTTCTATATATTTCAATGACTTTATAGATTTGAATATGCTATTTTTGCTATTTTACGTTAAATTTAAATTTTATAATGTCAAGTTTATTTTTATCAAATCCCAATTTATAGTACGAGAGCTAGCAACGTCGGAAAAACAAGTATTTTAAGACGTCTGGCTCTTTGATATATCTTTTACTATGTTCTCTAGAACAGCATGCGGCCCGTCTGGCTGCCGGTAAACCTTGCGTTCCCTACTGCGCATTGAAAGAAGATCCTACATTTTTATTAGTCCTTCAAATTCTAGTATTGAATATTAATGGAACATGTCTCCATAGCATAGTGCGTAGAGTTCCCGACCACGAACCGATGATTTAGAGTTCGAATCCGGGTCAGGACAAAGACTTTTTTATTTTATTTTTGTTTATATTCTGATAGTAAAGTATTAAATATTTGTTTTTTTTTTAATCACCAGATTTATTTAATACTTTTCTATCAGAATATAAACGAAAATAAAATAAAAAAGCCTTTGCCCTGACCCGGATTCGAACTCTGAATCATCGGTTCGTGGTCGGAAACTCTACGCACTGCGCTATGGAAACATGTTCGATTTATATTCAATACTAGAATTTATAGGACTAAATTATCGGCAGCCAGACGGGCCGCATACTGTTCCAGAGAGCATAGTAATTAAATTAATTACTTAATTAATCTTTTTATTAATTTTTTATGTAGATCTCTTTATTTCGTAGATATTACGTTTTTTTTAGCTTGACTTGCGTGTAAGGAACACCTTCTTTGAGCCCTTTCAACCCAAAAATCTCGTAAGAATGAAGAGTTCAAGACTGTTCAACTATAGAGGTTATAATTTGTAGCTCGCGTAATTTCCTACAAATTGATAGTTTGTATTTCTATGATTTTAGTCATAGATTTCTTTGTTAATTTTTTTCCGAAAAAATGAGGTGGCCATTTTATTTTTATCATAACTCCGCGAGTGTTTGAGCTACGAACTTGAAAAAACAGCTTAAAAAAGCATTTAAAAGGTCTTTTTAAGCACTTTAAAAACGGTCATATTCATTTTCTTCGAAAAATGTGTTTTTTTCGACATTATTTTACAACAAAAGGTTGTAATTAAGTTTTCGAAAATTAAAAAATCTTAAAATCATATTTACAGAGTGATAACTCAGCTAATATTACACCTACGGTAATCAGAAAAAAATTAGTCGATTAGTTATTCCAAAAGCTTTATTTTTGTTTTATATGAGTTTTGCGATAAAACGCAAGTTTTTCGAGTTATTTATAAAAAACGGCAGAAAAACATGCAGTTTTTAGATGAAAAATCAACATTTTCAATTCTAAATAACTCGGAAAAAATGAATTTTCTGAAAAAATGTTATAGAACATTTTTTGCTTAGAAATCATCGCTTTATTAATTTTTGCAATTAAAATGGGTGATTTATTTTTCACCCCCGAGAAGGGGTGGCACCCATTCCTAAGGTGTAAGCATACATCGCTACTATGTAACTTTTGTTTCTTACATATTATATCTCTATTCACTGTTAAAATTTCATGTTAATCGGCGCGGGTGTCAAGAATTCAGAGGTAATACCCTATTTTTAGCCGGCCATACCAACAGGTTAGGTCTGTCTGTGTGTCTGTCCGTCCATCACACGATAACTCAAAAACCGCTAAACCGGTTTTAACGAGAATCTGGCCATTCGTTTTTGGGTGGTGGTGGGGGGTTGGTAAGGGGGTATGGGAGGGAGTTAAAAATTTAAAAAAATCGTAACTCCAAAATTACAGTAGCTAGCAAAACGCTGTTTTCAATTTAAGATTAGGAATAATATTTGCAACAAAATTTTTAATAACATCAAAATCAGTCAAAGTCGCAGTTTTTGAGATATTAACATATTTTAGTATGGGCGGTTATACGTGCCTCGCGGCGCCAGTTTTTTTATCCTCGCTTACTGGCCTATAAATATATTTTGTAATAATTTAAATATTTCTATAGTTTACAGTACTATTTCTGCTGTTTTTTTAATTACGAACAACAATGAACAATCTAGTAATTAAACAGTTATTTTACAAGAGCTTTAATTAAGACGGGTTTGTCATGATTTTCAATGGAACTAAGACGGAAGTTGCAGACATACAGACAAGAAATCGATCTTAATTATAGAGCAAATTTGTATCTAAAGGTTTCATTATGAATAGGTACGTTCTTTTCTCATACTTATTGCTTGATATACCCGTAGAAAATTCAATCAGATTATTCATTCACACTAAGTATATTGCTTATTAAGGATTAAAAATAGGTCACTATACATTTTCAGGCTTAAGATCTTTTGTTGGCATTTTTAATATAATTTTTACAAATTTTTTACAATTATGCAATACGGCATTTTATTGAGCATCAAATTGCGCAACTTTGTCTCCATTTAACCGATCCTGTATCTCTTACGCTTTCCGAAATCCCAATGATGAGCGTCGAATTCGAGCCACCCTGTACACACATTATAAGTTTCTTAACCTTTATACTCTTAATTTCTTTTTAATTATAATTGATATTAATTGTAACGAACTAAACGATTAAATAAACGCAAACATTTACTTAAAAACGATTTTTCTTACTTTTTTACGATAATTGTTGTACTTAGTTCAATTATTCTGCATCTGTGGACTTTGAAATGTCATTTTATATCCTTAAAATGAATTTAAGTGAGCAGCGCTTGAAAAAAGAAGGCTTAATTAACGTATTTACCGAAAAAAAATTAATTAATTACACTATGGTACCGTGTAACTTTTCCACGCGGTTCTTAATTGCAAAAAGCGTTCTTTAATTTGTCACTTTATTTACTTTAAGTGCTTATTTAACGAAGTTTATAGGTAGTTGTATTAAATAGAATGTATAAATGAATTTCTACTTTTTATATAGAAATTTTGTTTAGACAAAAATTACACGCAGAAATATTGTTTAAAGAATGTTATAATTTTAAGCCTTTGTGTTAAATTAGTATGTAGAAGTGAAAATAAGTAGAAAAAAGCGAATTTTTAAAAGAAGTAGATACTTTTCTGTAATGGGGTAGATTCGAGGGGCCCTTAGATCAGCAATAAGGGAACGTTGTTTCTTTCCAGACAGCACAGTGACATTTTAAAGACATCTATAAGACAACTTGTTTCAACATTACTGACATCTCAAAGACGTCTATTTTCGCCTTTAGACGTATTAAAGGCATCTACAGCAACGTACAGCAAGGCAAAACCTGTGCAAAGTACAGAGACTGGCATGTATCTGCATCACAGGTGCCATGAGAACATGTCCAACAGCAGCAATGGAGGTCATTCTAGACCTAACACCACTGCACATTGTCGTCGATAGTTATGCCAATGCGACAATGATTAGAATGGTTACTGACGGAAACAGTACTGGGAGAATTTTCAGGTCAGGGGCTTGGAACACCCTCAAAAAGAAAATTCCACTTCTCCAACTCCCAGTGGATGACATACCAAGAATTTACAACTTTGAGAAACACCTCACTGTAGTATTGAGTAATAAAAGGATTGGAAGAAAGAGACGCTTACTCAGCATATAAAAGACCATCCCATCATGTGGTATACGGATGCTTCCAAAACCAAAGCAGGGACAGGGATAGGAGTATTTGGGCCGAAAACTGAATACTCCGAACCAATGGGCACCTACCCCAGTATCCTTCAGGCAGAAATTTGCGCTATCGAAAGATGCGTACAATTTATCTTAGATAGGAACTATCGAAAACAGGAAATTGCCATCCTATCCGATAGTCAAGCAGCTAACGCGATCAACTCAGTAACCATCAATTCGAAGTTGGTCAAAGAATGCCTGGAGAAGCTCAACAAATTAGACAAAGAAAATAAAGTCCTCCTACTCTGGGTGCCTGCTCACCAAGGGATAGAAGGCAATGAAAAAGCAAATGATCTAGCTAGAAAAGGAGCGAACACTCCACTAACTGGACCAGAACCATTCTGTTTTCCAAACGGGAACCAACTGAAAGCGGAACTGAAGAATCTGGAAGACCCCATCCGTAACTTGGAATGGGTGTTCTCCAACGGTCTAAGACACTCGAAAAAGTTCCTTAGAACTTATGACCGAGAAAAATCAAAGGTTTTCCTTGATTTAAGTAAAAACAATCTTCGGATTGTCACGGGGTTTCTAACAGGACACTGTCTCCTCAACGAACACCTCAGTAGGCTGAAACTGAGAAACAACGGCGAATGCAGATTTTGTGAGGAAAATGGGGAAACACCAGAACACCTTATCACTGAGTGCGCCGAGACGACGACCATTCGTGCCATGAACCTTGGTACGTCTGATGTCGAGGATGGAGAGCTGGCCTCTGTGGAGCCGTCTCAGATACTGGCTTTTCTTAAAGCCTTGAGACTGTATGATGAGTTATAACTCGTTATAACTCAAGAAAGGGGAACACACAATAGATCTATAAGGTCGCGGTGATTAACTCCCCTCCTAAACATTCTACATTCTACAAGGCATCTTACCAACGTCTGATGTTAAAAAACCCAACATCTTTAAGACGTCTTGAGTACAATGTCTTTAAGATATATTTTAACAATGTACTTAAGATGTCTTTTAATATGAATGAAAATGGGAGACAATGGTGAATTATAAAATAAAACATCTTCTTGGACTGGCATTGTCTTTAATTTTTAAATTAAGCATGTTTCTCTCAGATTACACTGACCAATATGAAGTGAACAGTTAACATAATAGTGATATATCTGACCGAAATGTTATGTATTGGTGTATTTTCTTCTTGGACAACCACTGGAGGGAGATCTTCAGATGTGTTATCATGCGCATCTAAAATATGAATCATAGAAACAAGATAATCGTTCAAATATATCTAGCAACCTAAATGTTTTAAACTTACCTGGCTTACCTACAATATCAGCTTTAACTTCTTTGATCAGCTTTAATGATGAAATTTTCGTAAATTCTCTGATGAAACTTTATATCACGTCCCTTTGCCAAACGGTTTTGCGCGCCTTTTTACAACTTACAACAACGACAGGAACAAACATTTTCCGCGAGGTTTTCCAGAGATTTTCGATCACATAACCTCACATCAACATCAACCACAACCACAGAAGTTAACTGTCACGCCTGTCAATCGTCATATTTGCGCCTATAAATTAAATCAGGATCAAAGAGTAGATAAGACAAGAGACGACAGTTCGCGCGGTACCTTTCATGTTTGAGTGGTGGGGAGAGTGACCTCGTCTCCCTTGTCCCTTTAAATTTTCGTAATTTTTTCGCGGGAAATTTAAAATAGACTATTATTAAAACTTGCCTGTATAGCTTATAAATAGTTACTGTATGGGTAAAGAAATAAATAGAAACGAAAAAAAAATGAGTTTTCTAAATATTATATAAAATAAATTATAATTAGAAACATATTTGTCGGGGAATAAAGATAATAAAAGCAATATTTTGTATATCGTTTGTAAACAAGATAAAGTGACCAAGTCGATTTGTAAGAAATGTTTTATTTACGTGTATTTTTTTTTACATATGGACTTGAACAAGTGTAAAATCACAATGTGGAGTTTATGTACAAAAAAATAGTTGCTCAATTTTTTTTGTAAAAATATATTACAAGCTTCTAACCATGTCTTCGATCTTAGTTTAATAACTTCTTTAAGTCTTCTTTCTTAGTTTAATAACTTTTCAGGACCCTTTGGAAAAGAGTGAAATATTATGTTTGTCGAAGAATAAGACCTATTTTTGCAGTCTTTGTAAGCACACACATTGCCACCATCTCGTCTTTTCCTGCTACTCGTGTCCTGTTCAGTATTCATATTTAACAATATTTACAAATTAGTACGCAACAAAAACGATACTAAAATTAAACCTTAAAAACTCTCAGAACGATAAGATATCGAAAAACTCTGAAAACACACTTTAAAAAGGCAAAAATGCAAGAAAACAACTAATCAGATTTGTTTATGTTTAAGCTTGATTAGCACAGCTGATTAGCGTCCTAAAATCATAGGTTATATTTTAGATTAGATAAAATACGCCGTTGTCAGATTTTGAGATTTTATCTGTTTATCTTTGAAATCGATCAACTTAAGTCATTCTGTTTCTTTGATATTATCAGTACATTGCGAAAAAAGAACCTAAACCAACCTAAACTAAAAATTTACACTTCCGTATTAACATACGTTACTTATATTCTTCTTATATTATTAATTTATTTTCAGAAAATCTTGTTTATTTTTCAAAGAAATATACTTGGCAACAGACAAAATGGGACTTGATGGAACCTTTAAATTTTAATATATCTGCGTCTCTCTCGCGAAATTCGACTTCTTTGTTCACTGTCGTCTCTTGTCTTATCTACTCTTTGTCAGGATAATGTTTTTATTTCTGTTGAGATTATACCATATTTCTGTCATATTATACCAGATTATACTCTCCTTTTTTATGATTATCGCCTACCCTAGAAAAAAAACGAGATAAATAGAAAAAATTAAATTTAAAATTTCTAATCATTTCTAATGTCATTTTAGAGACGTCCTAAAGATGTTTTATTTCGTCATCTTATGAATGTCTTTAAAATGATGTCCAAAAGTTGTCTTATTTTAGTCTTTAGGCGCTAAGATCTAATTAAGATATAAAAAAGACGTATTTAAGATACTATGTGCTGTCTGGGTTAGCTTCAATCTACTTTGATGTGTTCATTGAGGAGACCTGTTAGAAACATTTCTTTCTTCCAATTAATTTTATTGCTCTATAATACCATGAGGTGTTTTTCAAAGTTGTAGGTACCTAGATTCTTAATATGTCATCCACTGGGAGTGGATTTTTTCTTTTGAGGGTGTTCCATTGTGTTCCAAGTACCTGAGTTGACAATTCTCCCAGTACTGTTTCCGTCAATAATCATTCTAATCATTGTCGCATTGGCATATCTACCGATGGCAATGTGCAGTGGTGTTAGGTCTAGAATAGCCTCCATTGCTAGTGTTGGGTATGTTATCATGGTTCTTGTGATGCAGATGCATGTCAGTCTCTGCACTTTGCATAGGTTTTGCCTTGCTGTACGTTGTTCTAGTTTTGTGTATCAAGCAACTGCTCAATAAGTAATCATCGGTCTTAGTATCATACAGATACTTAGTATCATACTTATACATTCATACCAAATAAAGTTTTAGTCACCTGACGCTTGACCGGCACCGCGTTGCCTGTTTTTATATTGTTACGGATTCCGTGGGTCCACTAATTTAAACTCACGATAAAATCCTTAACGAATTTATTTTCTCACTTTATATACACAATTTATACTGATTATAAAACACAGTTTATGCAACTACTATTACTCTAACTTTTCTGGCACCTTCGCCAATTAATTCACAATTTAAAACGCGGTATTATCAAACTTCAAACTCAACTGTCCCAATTGCCCGATTACGCGGGCTTATATACTCTAATGACTGTTTCTCGAACCTTCTAAAATTCTCGGAGAGCGTTCTACTTCCTACTGGAAAATTCCACTGCTGCCCGATTCGCTTTTGCACTTAGCTAAGAGATGGCGCTTCAACAAAAACGTCTTTCACTTTCTGGCGAATTCGCCAGGTTTCTCAACACACGTAGGCAACCAGCAATACACGTTGCGACAATATAGGCAACCAGCAATACAGTTTAGCGCCATATTGCACCTTGACATTGTTGGTGTTAGAAGTGGGATTTAAGTGGATTTTGAGAAGATTTTACACCGGATTGGAGAATTTTATGGTTGGGACGAGAGAGCAAGCGAAGAAAATGGAGGAAGTAAGCGAATCAGACAATAGAATTTACTAGTAGATGGCATAAAGTTACCGATAATTTTAGAACTTTCCAGAAACACTCACCACAGCTATATAAAAGGAGCGCGTTCGGCAGTTGGGACAGTTTTGAAGTTTGATAATGCCGCGTTTTAAATTGTGAATTAATTGGCGAAGGTGCCAGAAAAGTTGGAGTAATAGTAGTTGCATAAATTGTGTTTTATAATCAGTATAAATTGTGTGTACAGAGTGAGAAAAAATAAATTCGTTAAGTATTTTATCGTGAGTTTAAATTAGTGGACCCACGGAATCCGTAACAATTAAAAGAGGTTCTAAAAAGAACAACGTTCGACTGCAAGGTCTGTTAGTAAACACTTTCAAGCGTGGAATAAATGTCTTAAAGTAACGTCAAAAACTTGTAATACAAAACTAAAGTGTCAAAACGAGTGGCTATGTCAGGAAATAAATAAATCAGTGCGGCAACTTGACATTTTCTACAGCAGAGCTACCACCTGAATCCCCAGCGCGAAATTGAAATTCCAGTTAGCCAGCGCGGCACCGAATATGTCCAGGGTTGGCAACAATGTATTTAAAAATTGCGCCTTCCATTATGTAACTAAAAGTTTAATTGATTTCAAATATAGTTGCGTACTATCATCCAGGGCTATTATTTATTAATATGTTCATAATAAGGATGATAAAAACCGATGACCTATACTGCTTCCTTATTCCTTCTAGCTAATAGAGAAAATTTCTAGTGCAAGGAAACTTGAATCTTCATTTTAACACAAATCTAACTATTCTTTTTTAGAGTGCCACGTCACAATCAAAACACGCTGCCAGATTCTTAAGACTTGCGATGGCAAGTATCATGGACATACTGAAGATCAAACCCTTTGTTGAAGTCTCTGTGGGCCAGTTGCTGTGGGGTTACGAAGACCCGCTTCTAAAGCTGGCCAAAGACGTTGTTCCGAAAGAACAGAAATTGCCCTACGAAGAATTTGGACTTATGTACAACGTAAGTGTTTGGTTTGGTTTGGTTTGGTTAAAACTTAGCTAGGAGAAATCAAATGCTCAAAATGCGTTTTAAAAATTAAAATGTGATTTTTTAAATGAATATTTTTTGCAGAAAAATGCCACCACGAGGGATACTATCACGTTATTCACCGGTGCCGATGACATCACTATGCACGGCCTCATCGACACTTTCAACGGAATGCACAAATTACCCCACTATACCGAGGAACGTTGCAACGACATTACCGCTTCCGATGGTTCAATATTCCCGCCACATTTGACGAAAAACAGCACGATTCACATTTTCGACAAGGACTTGTGTCGAAAACTTCCTTTGGTGTAAGTAACCATAATTTTTTTAGTTTTGAAAAGTCTCTACAGTCTTCACATAACGTTTTAAGAGTCTTAGGTATGACCATTTTAAAGCTAGATTAATAAACAATCTAAAAACGGTTTTCTGATATTTTTTTGCACATTTACACTATCAGACAAAAGTAGTTTTTAAAACTCGTCGATTTTCAAAAACTTTTTAAAACTCGTCGAATTTCAAAAACATCCAATTTATTTTATTATCAGGTGTTTATTTATAATGCGAACACAAATATTTTTGAAGGGACATAAATAAAGAAACCAACCTAAAATTTACCATACTTAGTAGTTATTTGCTTAAGATGAAAACTGCTGATATTCTGATTTCCATTTTTACTAAATATGCCACGCGGAAAATATTTGTCTGAGGATCTTCGCGAAAAATAATCAACGCATATCGGAATGGTGTACGGCAAATGAAATGTTTAATTTGCATAAGTCTGTCATTAGCCAAACGATTTCCAATTCCTTAAAGATTGTTAAAAAAAAGTGGTCGGCCGAGAAAAACAACGAAAAAAATTGATATGATAATTAAAAAAATCGCTTTAACTAATCCGCATAAATCGGCAAATCAAATTTTGAGTGAACTACCTGCTGACAATATAAGTTCTAAAACCGTCCAAAGAAGGCTAAGGGAAGCAGGATTATTTAGCAGAAAAAAGCCACTCATCAGTAAGAAGAACCAGAAGGCCCGACTTACTTTTGCAAAAAAAAATATTTGCACTGGTCGACGAATGACTGGAAATAGGTCCTGTTTTCAGATGAAAACAAATTTAGTATATTTGGATTCGATAGCAGATCGTGAATACATCGCCTAGAAAGGAAAAGATTTGATCCAAACTATACCAAGGCCACTGTAAAGCATGGTGGTGGATCTTGCATGGTGTGGGATGCTTCTCGGGCTATGGCATTGGACCACTGCATGTAATAGAAGGAACAATGGACGAAAGTGATGATTCCGTTTGCCGATGATAATTTGCCTTTAACCTGGATATTTCATCAAGATAATGAATCAATCAGCATAAATCGAAAGTCTTACATAAATGGTTTTTGTCTGAACAAATTACGGTTATGGACTTTCCTGCCCAAAGTCCAGACCTTAACTCCATTGAAAACCTGTGGGAGGAACTAGATCGCCGGGTAAGACGAAGTCACATTAGCAATAAGAACGATTTGATAAAAATTGTGAAAGAGGCCTGGAACTCCATTGAACCAGATACCATAAGAAATCTATTGGAGTCCATGCCAAGGTGATGATAATTTGCCTTTAACCTGGATATTTCACCAAGATAATGAATCAATCAGCATAAATCGAAAGTCTTACAAGATTGGTTTTTGTCTGAACAAATTACGGTTATGGACTTTCCTGCCCAAAGCCCAGACCTTAACTCCATTGAAAACCTGTGGGAGGAACTAGATCGCCGGGTAAGACGAAGTCACATTAGCAATAAGAAAGATTTGATAAGAATTGTGAAAGAGGCCTGGAATTCCATTGAACCAGATACCATAAGAAATCTATTGGCCTCCATGCCAAGGCGATGATAATTTGCCTTTAACCTGGATATTTCAGCAAGATAATGAATCAATCAGCATAAATCGAAAGTCTTACAAGAATGGCTTTTGTCTGAACAAATTAGGGTTATGGACTTTCCTGCCCAAAGTCCAGACCTTAACTCCATTGAAAACCTGTGGGAGGAACTAGATCGCCGGATAAGACGAAGTCACATTAGCAATAAGAAAGATTTGAAAAGAATTTTGAAAGAGGCCTGGAATTCCATTGAACCAGAGACCATAAGAAATCTATTGGACTCCATGCCAAAGCGATGTCGTGAAGTTATAGCTAATCACGGTTACTCTACCCATTATTGATTTTATTAGGTTAGCAACAACAATGTACTTGTAATTTTTATATTAATTTTTAGTTTCTCTATTTTTGTCCCTATAGTTTTTTTATTTAACTGAATAACATATTAAGTTTTTATGAGACATGTGATTATTTCATTTAAACAAGAAATATTTAAGTATCTTTACGTATCGCTCGCATGCTTTGCCGTTGATTTAGACTGTTTTGTTTTTTTAGGTTTGAAAAAGAAGTGATCGGTTCTAACGACGTACCAGCTTATAGGTACACCCCTCCGAAGAACGTATTTGCTAGTGTAGAGGAAAACCCAGATAACATGTGTTTTTGTCCTCAAGGACCTCCATGTGCACCATCGGGATTCTTCAACGTATCTCTGTGTCAATATGGTAACTATATTTTACATTAATTATATTAATATACATCTGTTACAAATGTAGTGATTCATATCATCATCATCATCATCATTATCATCATTTTCAGCTCATTCGACCATTTCCAATTATGAAGTAGCCTCCATCACATATCTGTAATGTATCTGGGCTCATTTTAGTCTATTGTTGGCTATGCGGGCCCAAGTTATCCCTGCTAATTTTCTAGAATCATGGTCCATCTCAGGTGTGGTCTTCTTTTAGGTCTCTTATTTCCTCGTGGGTACAATGCTATAATTTTTGGACATTGCCACTTCAGGGATTTGATTCTGTTGATGACATCCATTACCTGAGTCTTTTGTCGTTTCCACTCTATTCTTTTACGGCTCTTAGTTATTCGCAGCATATTTCGTTCTATTGAGCGCTGTGCGACCTGTCTTCTTCTTCTCGTCCGTTAACTCTCGAAAGAGTATGGTGACATCATGTCTCAATTGCTCGGATCTATCTTGAGCGACTATAGAGGCCTCTTGCAGGCCGTGACCAATAATTTCTTTGGTTTGGTCCACCCAGTGCGTCGGAGATCTTCCTCTTGGTCGTTTGCCATTAATCTTCTCTTCGATTATGATTTTTTCCAGTCCATCTGTTCTTCTCGAAATATGCCCGAACTACCTAAGGTATGACTGGTTTATTTTGGTTGAAAGTCTTTGTTAGTGTTAACTTTCAACTGCCTTAGAATTGATACGTTGCGCGTTGGTCCGATGTTCTGCTTTCGATGGCTTCGAAAGCATCTATTTTTCGTCTATTTGTAGTTTTCAGAGTCGGTCTCTGATGCATAAGTAGCGATAGGAAAGATCAATGTATTTACTAATTTTAATTTGTTGTGATGGGATATTGCTGAGTCTTTCCATATTCGTGTTAGTTTTAAGCTAGGTTGACACGGGTAGTGAAGCGCTATCGTGAGCTACGAAAGTACCAAAAAGCCATTCGTGAATAACGAAAATCGTCCAGCGATCGTAGGCTGTTTACACGGCAAACGTGCCCAGTCTTCTATAAAGTTCCTTTCGTGGAAGGTTGTACACTAAATGTGCCAAATATTACGACATTATAAGACGAGTGAAAATAATTAATTGTGGCATTCATGTCAATATCTCACAGAGTTGCCAATATTTACTATTTTACGTCTTTTCATCCGACATTTTTAATTTACTTGCGAGTTGCGAGTCATTGCTGTATATAAAAATTGAATTTATACTTTTTTAATTATGGTTTTGTTATGCATATGAAGTTAATTTTTATCATCATATACTAAACTATATTAAAAAAATGTAACAATTATACATTCGAACTTTTTTTGCAACAAAGATTATAATAGGATGTCAATCAATATTTTCTAATTTCTCAGCTTCCTCTGCGATTTCTTATTTACGATCGATTTGGTTCGTGAAATATCTAACACGTTTGATTTGCTTATTCATGATCATGGCGTCTTTCGTATTGATTCGTTTCTATTCTTCTTTCACGAATTTACTGTTGACATGAGGCGTGGTCCACGAAAGTGTGGGCCACGATTGTGCTTCACTGCCCGTGTCACGTAGCTTTATAGTCGAGGTACGAGCTATTGCTAGTCTGGGTTTGATTTTCTCGTCACAGCCTCCCTTGTTTGTTATGAGGGATCCGAGGTAATTGAACTTTTCAACCACCTCAAAACCATCAATCTCCCTAATGTTAGTAGGATTTCGGTCTATTATCATGCGTTTTCCTTTTGTTTAGCATAAGGCCATGTTCCGCACTGATCTTACTCAACCTTCTCATTATTTGAACAAGTTTTTTCTCAGAGCATGCAAGAATTAAGGTGTCATCGGCATACCTAAGGTTTGTGATCTTTTTTCCACCTATCGTTAGTCCGCCTCGCCAGCCCTGTAAGACTTTTCTCATTACGTACTCTCCATAGATGTTCAAGAGTATGGGTGATACTATACAACTTTGTCTTACACCACGTTTCGGACTAAAAGACTTAGAGAGAGCGTTGTTGACTTTGACTTTTCCGGAGCTGTCTTCGTAAAGATTTTTAAGTAGAAATATAACATGTTTTGGTACTCCGATGTTTTCTAACACCATCCACAGCTTCTTCCATTTTACACAATCAAAAGCCTTACTGTAGTCGACGAAGCATAAATACGTTTTAACATTAAATTCATATGCTTTTTCAATTATTTGCCTTACATTTAGGATCTGTTCTCTTGTTCCTTTTCCTGGTATAAACCCTGTTTTTTCGTCAGGGATCTGTGGGAGCAAAAAACGCTTTAAGCGGTCATTTATGATATGGAGTAGAATTTTGTAGTTTCCTTATAATGCCCGTTTAAAATGTCCAGGTTTCGCATACATAGGTCATAACTGGTAGTACACATTGGTCGAATGTTTTCTTCTTTAGATAAAGTGGTATTCTAGATTTGAATATGATTGAAGTTCTTCCTTAACTAACTTACTTCTTCTCTTGATTTCTGGTAGTAGAGATCCCGAACTTTGTATTAGTTGTCCCAAATACATATATTCTATATGATTGGGATATAATTTATATTTCTTTTTGTAGATTCTCCAATACTTCTTTCATTCCCCCACTTTTACCTGGCAAATGACAGCTATAGAACGGCAGTAGAAGGTATCTCACCACCCGATGAGGAGAAACACAAGTTCTTCATCGATGTACAACCCGTAAGTATTTTTAATAAAATAATCCGGAGTTTAACCATAGTTTTTTATTGCAAATAATTAATCTTCATACAATTTTATGACACCCGTATTTTTTTACTTCAATTTCATCCCATTTTTTTTAAAAATTAATCAATATTAAGAATTTCAAATTTACGCTTTTACAATCTCTGACGTCACCTATCAAAAGTGTCACGGTTTGCCACCAGGTACCAAGGTAAATAAAAACCGTTTTTCTAAATGTATTTTAAAGCAAATATAAAATTAATTGTAAAATAAAACTTAAGGAACTTACGTTAAAATGATCTTCACAGCAAAATCTCGTACTTTTTCTGACATATTGTTGTCTTGCCGCTTCAAACCTGGTTCTTCGACGGCTTTCATCCAAAGGAACAGTTATAAAAACTTTTTTTGGAGAGCCTTCAGAGTTGTTTAGACAGCCCTTCACAAAACAAACTTTAACACCCTTCATTAGAAAAATAATAAAGAGGGTACAATAAAACAAAATTGAAAACTCAAAGTATTTAACGCCAAACGCAAAATCCACAAAATACAAATCTAACCTCGAACCCTCGAACGCCTCGAACATCCGAACAACTTTGGTAGTGTTTAGTGCTTCGATAAAATGGCAGTAACCTGTTAAATATAAAAATTTAAGCTTTAATTTCTAGTAGTAAAAAATATAAAAGTAAATTTAATATTGGGCAATAAAGAATAATCCCACACAAAAACGTATTTTTTAACGATCTTAATAAAAATAAAAAAATCTAACGTGATTTTAAGATATATGGTGTAAATACGGTAGCAGAGAACTAGACACGCCATAATATTATTCTTCAGAGGCACGCGCCCTCTGTCAACTATTCAGTCAAATGCTGGTAGGTAACGTCACAATTTTCTACGCGTCATTTCAAACAAGTGAAATTTGTATTGAATCTGATTTATTATTTATTCCTCAATTGTAATTTCGTTGCATTTCTTTTTGTATTGAGGGAGTACTTTTTAATCGCTTCAATTGAATTTTATGTTAAAAATAACAAAAATTTACTATGGTTAAACACCGGATTAATTGGCATATTGGAAATATTAATTTTTTTATTTCAGTTGATGGGTACTTCGATGCGGGCCAAAGCAAGGATCCAGATAAATTTGGCAGTTTCTCAAGTGGTCGATATCAAACAAGTCGCTACCTTCCCTGACATCATTTTCCCTATCATGTGGTTTGAAGAGGTAAGCTAAACTTATTTAAAATATGTCCCTTATAGGTACACTATTTTAAATATTAGCACCGTACTTATATAATTTACAAACATTTGATATCAACAAATTGGTTTAATATAAAATAAAGCTGAACAGAATATGAACGGAAATACTCCACAAATTTGTTTTAGAATATGTTTGTAAAGAAGTAAAATATAAACGTGGATCAAAAGAAGTGTAATTCATATATAGACAAATTATGCAGCATATTTTGCATAATCCGATTACATTCTATGAGTATATAATTTTTTTAAAAGGATTTATAGAAATTTAAACTATGAAATATACAGATTGTTAACTGGACGGTTACTTATTGGGGAACAGATTGCCCATCTGCTGCCGACTCGTCCCGTCGCGCGTCGCGTCGTCTCTCGACGAGCGGGCCGAGGTTGCCATATTTCAACCATAAAGCTCTTGCCGCGAGTAATATCAAATTAACAACCTGTATAAGTTATGACAATTAAATATATCTATTTTGTTCATTAAATGATTTAATTTAACTATAATTTTGAATACCGCATATTAATAAAATTTGTTAAGAAATAATAACTTATTACAGTTGGGGGATGGAACCTTTGGTGTTACAGCAGCAAAATAAAACACTAAATCACCACAATATACCAAAACACTTTTACTTTTGCACTGGACGCGCGTTTCGCTAACCATATTAGCATCATCAGCAAATTATTAAAACTATATAACTCCGAAACTAAAATAACTCACAAAGCTTTTAATATACACATATGGCCAAAATTATTGCATGTATCGTTTAAAAATATCCAATTTGCGTGTTCCAATGCAAATTGTAGTCGGGCCTACCTATTTTTCTTAGAAATAAACGGCTTCCGGGCAGGTCTTCTGGCATTTAGTTGTGCCTGTTTCAGACGCCGTCTAATGGACCTAACAGATATTGAAATAAAGGGATATTCGTTCCTTATTTCCTCCGCAGTGCAAAATGGATTTCTAAGTGAATATCTTCTTATTATTTTATCTGTCGCCAAAGTTGTTTTTTTGTCTTCCGGGTTTGGGTATGCTGGCAGCTGTCCCACGATTTCTATACAAATTAATCTGTTTGCACACAACACTTTTATGTAAATTTAAGTGTCTAGCAATATCAATTTGTTTAATTCCCGAATGATACTTCTCAATTATGATTTTTTTTATTTGATCTGACAAATTTATCCCGCGCGGCATATTTTTAACGTACTGTGAACGCATTACCACGATCTAGACGCTTTAACAAGAGAATATCTCACAGAATGTTAAGAAGAAGATAAGGTTTCTCCACTTATGTCCGCTGGAATTTGTAAATAATTTTTTGCCTGCAAATTTATTCACAAAATAAGCAGTTTTTATATGGCTATACGAAGCAGATTAAATGCGAAATATTTTCTTGACATCCTATTCTGCAGAGAGTAAACTGTATTTTGACATAGTAAAAATATTAAAAGTTTCTCCACTTTTGGCCAGTACTGTATATGTCCAAAAATATAAAAAGAATCATATTAGGTCCAAAATAAAATAAAAATATCGTTATATGCAATAATTTTGGTAATGTGTGTATATTTAATTAAACAATATAACTTCTATTTTTTACTATTCTGTTTTATATTTGATATTTTTTTAGCTCTCTGAGTTTTTTTTTCACTTTGAATCCTTTTAGATTAGGTTGAAAAATTCATATTTACATGAATTTTTCAAGCCCGAACTAGTATCTGTTTTAAACATGGAAATATTCAAATTACGAATTACATGACTATTAATTCTTGTTTCATTTAACACAAATTCTCAATGAGTTTATACGAAGATTATTTAAAAAAATTCCGACACATCCGTGGTAGTATTTTTTATTTATTTCTGTTTTCAGGGATTGGATGGATTGCCGGAAGAAATGACAGGCCTAATGAAACTGGGCATTTCCGTTCCACCAGTGGCGCACGCGGCACTCTCCGGCATCCTGCTGGCAGTGGGCGCCATCTTGCTCATCGTGGCCATCTGGCGGCTGGTCAGAGGTGCCAACCGGCTCAGTTCGCTTCAACTAGCCCCGGGTCACGTGGGCCAGTCGACCAATAAGAACAAGGACAACGGCCTGGGCGGTATGCCCAAGTACTAACGACGCTGGAAGGCAGTAGTTTACTATATTTATTTGATTTTTGTTTTCATTTTTGACTGGTACTATTTTTTTCAAAAGCAAAAATTGTACGTACCTATTAGAAAAATCCGTCCTTTTTGCTCAAATTTTTTTATAATATGGTTATCTTTGTGTGAAGACGAAAAAAAAAATAAGAACAAGAATCGTTCTGTGATAGTTAACGATGTATATGTACGAATAATTGATGTACAGGGTGATTCACGACATTAGTAGGTTTGATGTTTATCATAGTTTTTTTTTGGAAAATTTAGATCTATCTACCTAAATTATTTTAAGCTTTACAGTGTTGCCGTTTTATTTAAAAAGGTAGTAGCGTCTTTCTTATTTTAAACGGTACACCCAGTATATTGTTATATTTTTGGAAACTTCTTTCATATTCCCCAAAATATCTCTATTATACTAACCTATACCTATCTCTAATAGTTTTTGAGATAAACAATAAAATATGTATAAAATTGACAGAAACACGATCTTGATTATCATAAATTTGGCGTATTGAAAGCTGCAATTTGGTTTGTAGATTAAGGAAAATCGACATATTAAAAAAAATCCTTCATAAACTTCTAATGTACCATGGTCGTGAATCACCCGGTATAAGTGACAATAAAGGGCACCTATACTATGGAGAATAATTTTATGGATGCCCATTTAACGAAAACTAACCTAAATTGATTTTTTTATTAAAGTATGGAAGGTCTAAAATAGTACGAAAATACTAAATTTTTAAAACTAGATAGACGTAAACTGTATGTTTCACGTTATATTTTATTATTAAATATTTTCATTTTGTTGTCAATTATTAAATTTTACCTACAACAAGCAGTTTTTATTTGACACCCTGTAGGTACTATATATATATTATACAGGTTTCTAAAAAATAGCCTTCCATATGCAAAGTACTTAATGCTAAAATAGAGGGTTGGTATTTTAAAAATATTTTGTACCAAAATATTTTTAAATTACTTGCCAAAAACAAGAGACAAAAATGTACAAAAGAATTTTAACAACGAAACAATAATAATTATTGAAGCTAAAATAAATATTTTTGGAAAGTTTATACTGGTTTTTAGCCTAGGACTAGGTGTAGGTAATATATTTTGTGTATTTTTTATGTTAGCAAGAGAAAAAGAACTATTGTAAATGTAAATAAATTTTTCTTCCAAAAAAATACTAACAAAAAATTGAAGAAATAGAAATAAAATTTTCGAGTGTTTTGAAACATATCCAATCATTTTATACTAACATTTTATGTTTGTGTGTATTCTAGTGACTGTACAATAAGCAATAGTGTAAGGAGTGTTTATATTTTTTTAGTTATAGGTAAATTTTCGTTTTGTATTATACTATGCCTAAAATAAATAGTTTATATCTTTTATTTTGTATTTTTGTTATTGAATATACGGCCTTTAAATTGTATAATGTGTTATAACTCAAGAAAGGAGGACACTAAAGTTTGTTAAATTATTTTTTATAATTATTACTTTTTATAAATTTTTTTTTAAATAAAAGATATTTTAAAAAGACGAAAATATAATTTTTCGGAATTAGTAACTGAACTCAGAATTCTATGATATAAAAGAAAGATTTATTTTTAATTTTTTTAATTTTAACATCGAGTATTTTAAAAAGAAAATACTAAATTGCAATTTTTTGTAATTTTAATTTTACTCCCATCAAATCTCATTAAAAGTGCTGTGTGATAAAGCAGTTCAGATTTTAATACATAAAAACGTTCAATTCTTTCTTCACTAATAGTAGTCTTTTATTAGAACCTTAAGTTTCAAATTCTACTTATATACACTACGGATCATAAACCCATAAACGCTATCCGTTCTGGTGATAAAAAAGCAAATATTTAATACTTTACTATCAGAATATAAACAAAAAAAAAATAAAAAAGTTGCAACCCCAGCCGGAATCGAATCACTGACCTTCGCTTCATAGGCAAAAGCTTTACGCGCCGAGCTAATGGAGACTTGCTCGGTTTTTATTCAATACTAGAATTTAAACCGCTAAGTAAAAAATAGAGGATCTTCTTTGGATGCGCAGTAGTAAACCCAACGTGTATCGGCAGCCAGACGGCCTGCACGCTCTGCCAGAGAGCATAATAAAAGATAATAATATATCAAAGAGCCAGACGTCTTAAAATACTTTCTCGAAAACGTTGCTAGCTCTTAGACTATGGCTATTTGGTGAACATAATTAGAAGCTATCTTGATAATAGATTTATAGTTCTCAATAGAGAAAATGAAAGAGAGGTATTCGATGGCGTCCCACAGGGCTCGGTGCTGGGGCCAACTCTGTGGAACATATTATACGACAGTGTCATGGAGCTTACTGTACCAGGTGGGACAGAGTTGATCTGTTACGCTGATGATCTTGCTGTGATAACAACAAAAAAAAACTAAAAGAAACAAAAAAATAAACGACCTCGACCTAATGCAGACTGTGGATGATACACTAAAAATCATAGCCAGATGGATGCGTGAGCACAGACTCGAAATAGCTGTGGAAAAAAACAGAGGCGATTTTACTGAGCCGCAAGAGAAAAGTTGACCATATAAGGCAAGAGAAAAGTCGACCAAATCATACAGGGTGTTCCAAAAAGTTGGGTAATTTCTTAACCACGATTCTGCTTAAACAGCTTGATGTAAAAAGCTTATTTTTGGCAAACGGATTTCCAACGAGATGAAACTACCCCTGAAATATTACCAAGTTATATATCGCCATATTGTTTTTTCTCATGCTGACATAAATGTGAGAAAATTTTATCCAGTTTGTATGTTAAAGGAAATTTTTGCTTTGCTTTATCATCACCATTACAAATGATTAATTCGACGCGAACGAAGTTGCTGGTACAATCTAGTCTACATATAAAATGCTAATGTTTATCTGTGTCGTCTCTACTGAAGTAACGACTTGCTCTAGAAAGTTGCTTTTTTTACTAAAAGATAGCTAATTTGCTCTTCTAAAAACTGTCGTCGCCGGATTTTTTGTTTTTCATTTAATTAAAAAATAATAAATAAAAAGTTTTTTTTCTGATGTCGTGGCGGATGCGTCAGGCTTCAACTAGTAATTAATAAATAATTAAAGATTACAGTTGAGGGTTGGAACCTTTGGTGTTAAACAGCAAAATAAAAACACTAAATCACCACAATACACCAAAACACTTTTACTTTTACACTGGACGCGCGTTTCGCTAACCATGTTAGCATCATCAGCAGATGATTATAAACTAAAGTACAATCTACAAGTTGAGCATTTATATACTCGCCCAGTGGGCACCGAGTGGGCGTGGCAAAATCTAGCCAACCGAGTCAGAGCCAACTGAGCGTAACAGCACAAAATATACACCATACAGAAGCGACAAAGAGATTTGCTTCAAAATTTTTAGGAGGGGGTAATGCTGGTTAACTGTCAAACGTGACGTCAAAGAATTATACACCAAAAAAAAATTCACGACCGCAGGTATAATTATTTCTAGATATTATGCATAAAAGACTAAAAAATATATTTCATAATTATTTATTTATTTTTAATTCTAAATAAAAATACTGATTTAAATCCCTCTAGTTTTTAAAAATTAAATAAACCTGCTTTTCATCATTTTCTATTAAAATCTAACAATTTTCTTTCAGTGTGAAATGCTGTTCAAGGCGCACGGATGTCAAACGTGACGTCACGCAATTAGTTCCCATTTGACCAATGCTATTCAAAGCTCTTTGTCGCTTCTGTATGGTGTATATTCTGTGGTAACAGTTAGATTTCCGCCACTAGAGTAGTAGGAACAAAGAACTTGAAGGAATTGGACCGTTGTCTCTGTTCATACTATCTCTACATTTATTAATTCTGATGCTTTCATATACATCTAATTGCCTGTAATTTGAGACTTGTTTAATTAATTTAAAATTATTAAGATCTATACAATGTTCTTCATCGACAATATGTTTGGCAACGCAAGATTTATCCGGTTTACCATATCTTATCTAAGCTAAATGTTCTTTAAATCTAGTTAATATTGATCTTCTAGTTTGCCCAACATATTTCTGATTACAATCTTTACAAGAAATTTCATAAATACCCGACCTTTCCAGTGGAGGTGTTTTATCCTTTGAATTACCTAATAATTGTTGTAATTTATTATTAGCACTATACACAAGTTTATAATTGACATTCTTAAAAATTCCTTTTAGACACGGGTTAATTCTCTATCAAACGGTATCGAAAAATATTTAGACGTATCTTTCTCCACTTGAAAAGTCAGAATTTTCAGAAATCATTAACCTATACCTACGTTTTCTAATTAATTTATCAACTAGTGAAGGAGAATATCCATTACACTCAGCTACATTCCTAATGTAATCTCTTTCTATTTCATATCTTTCGTTGGAAAGTGGGAAACTAAGTAATCTATGAACTAAGAAATTTAAACTAGCCATTTTATGTTCAACATTATGATGTGATTCATTAGGAATATATCTGCGTGTGGTCGTATTTTTCCTATAGATATTAAATTCCAGGCAATTATTAGTATTTCTAATAACTAATACATCTAGAAATGGTAATCTGTCGTTGTTCTCAATTTCATGCGTAAATTTAATGGAAGGAAAACGATTATTTAACTTAAAAATAAAATTATCTATGCTGTCTGAATAATTAAAGAAACAGACATTTTACTGTCGATTTTCTTCTTCACGATAGAAATACCTACTTTTTTGTGTAAATAATATTAGCATCATTGTATACATAAAACATCAATTATTATGTGTGTTATTATAATAAAGGAACTATTAAAAAGAAATTATTTCCTTGTTTAAATACCTACATACCCAACGGAAACAATGCATTAAAAGAAATATGTAATTATATTATATTTATTTCGTTTTAGCGAAGGATACCTCTAACTACTGTATGTATAATAATTGGCATGTTTTATTTTCCTGGCCCAAAGAATTAACAACGATATTTCCTGCAAAAACTGACACGCTTTTAAGTCAAGAGTGCTTATCGTTCATGTAATTGATTTATTAAAATAGCGATACATCATTAATCGTGAATGCGATCTTTAAAAAACAAGAAACTGTTATATCGACCTGTTATTGTCATTGTTTTTTAATTTATATAATTACCGCGTTTCTGGTAGTTATTTTACTCTTAGTTATCAAGAAGATCCGTTATAGAATATCTACTTTCTATCGGAGAGTGCTTATAACTTTAACTAACTAAAACCGTCTTAATTTCCCTGTATTACAAAAAACAGTATGAATATACATTTTAATAATAAAAATTCAAAACTACATAAGGCTTTTTTTTATAAAAAAACTTCATTATATACAGGGTGGCGCATTTCATTCGCCTCGGTTGATTAATACGAAAACGGAAAGATGTAGAAACAAAATATTTTATGGGTATATGTGGGAAGACAATGTGCTTAATTTAAAATTATTTTGAAACGTACAGTGTGTGTCAGAACTAAGATCCATACCAAAGTTATATTTTTTCTTATGAAACACCCGGTATTTTATTTCATT